GTTTACAATCTAAGATGGTCATGAAAATGGAAACCAGGGGAGGGAAGAAATCCTCTGCATTCAAAATGCCACTTTTCATTGTCCTTGCCTTCATAATTTAAAATTACTCAATAATTTATCAAGTGTATAGACATGTTATGGCTGAGGCTCAACCAACAAAGAAGTTTGTGGAGATTAATAAATGAAATGTCTCTCTCATTTGTCTCCATAATTGTACCTTCTCTTCCAAATTAATGCTTTTTTTCTAAATCATTTCAATCATGTGTTTGCTCATAAAAGTACATAAGTATGCTTGTACATATGTTATTAAATAGGAAAACATATTTTAGGGGGCTTGTATTCATGTTTAAATATGAGAAAATTTGACCTTATAAAACAAAAGATGAAAGCAGAGAAGGAAATGAAATTGATTAAGATGGAATTTTTTGAGGTGGAATTTTCATTTTAGAGGCTTATGGTAAAATACCTTTAGATGAAAGCAATTTTTTTATTATCAAGACTGAAAATGCTAGAATATAATTAAAATCTGCTCTGAAAGTTGTAAGAAAAAAACCTGCAACATTCTATCAGTCTTAACAGCAAACAATCAAGCAGCTCTCAAAAAATTAATTAAAAAAAAGCAAGATGTGACAAGAACCACATAGAGTGAAGCAGGCTAAGAATGAGTTTCAGGAGTACCTAGACATGGGCTGAGCCAAGCTGAAATACAGTTAACTCACTCAATTAAATGCTGAACATATGCCACAGGCAAGCAGAAACCCCAAATTCAGAAGCAACCAACAAGCCTGAATTGGTAGCTTCTCTCCAAGTACCATTGAAGGAGCCAAGTGAACTCTTTCCTTCTCTCCCACTTCTAGGGCCTTTTCTAGAAACTACTATAGCTCAACTTCATCTTGCCAGTAGCCCATTCCTCACTGTGGTCCACACTTGTCATCTGCTGACCCAAATCTGTCTGTCTCTGTCTCTGTCTCTGTCTCTGTCTCTGTCTCTGTCTGTCTGTTTGCCTGCCTGCCTGCCTGCCTGCCTGCCTGCCTGTCTGTCTGTCTGTCTGTCTGTCTGTCTGTCTGTCTGTCTGTCTGTCTCTCTCTCTCTCTCTCACACACACACACACACACACACACATGCACACATGCACGCACGCACACACGCTCACATACATGGAACTAACCTATCCAACAAACAAACAGAAGCATCAGACTCTTTTTGAAACAGAGCACCTAAAGTCAGAATTAGTTCCATTGACAGAGAGAGAGAGAGAAGAACAGAGAGAATAAAATGCCCCAAGACTAACATATCAATTAGGTTTGTTCCTCTCACACTTAGTAATTCAATTCCACAAATTTGAATGCCAATTACGTAAGTACAAACGACTGATTCAATTATTTCAACAGCAGTTTTTGATGCATAGGGTCTGTTGAGGATACAACAGAGAGCAAATAGGCAAGACTGTTGACCTCAAAGCACACATGAGTTCCCCCTGTAATGCAACTGCTGCGCAACAGTGAGCAAGGCGGGTTAACTGCATTTAAGAGCCTCCTCTGAATACCTCCCTAGGAAAGCCTTTTATCTTTTACAAGTTGCATCTTTTGCATCTTTAGAATACCTGCATTCAGTCTCCACAGTGAAAGCTAGAGGGGTCCTATAGCATAGGAAGGAGTAAGAAGGGACCAGAGTCCTTCATTAGATCTGCTGCAAGAGACTATCAGGTTATCTCCAAGCAGGAAGCATCCCATCTCTGTGAGCTCCATTTGAGTGGGATGCTGCACACTCGGGGGTAGGGATGTCCCCCAAACAATGTGTGTTCTTGAAATTTAATACTTTTAGCATCTGGTTACACTAACTATGAAAGAGAAATAGAAACTGTAAATAAACTTGACCAAGCTTTTCTAGCTGGACGATTGATATTTTCTTTATGGTGTTTTCTAATATTTTACTTTGAAATGACTGAGTGCTCTCAAGAGGTCACAAACCAGCAGGGAATTTCTGTGTCTCCTTGCCTGGATTTTGTCTAGTGAAATTAATCTTATGTAACTATGGGACAGTATGGAAACTAGAAAATGAATATTGGTTCAATCCAAAGACCAAGTTCAGATTTCTGCAGGACTGTATGTTTTGTATGTGATCCTGGGTGCCAGTGTGTGTATCTGTGAGTGTATTCATATGTGACTGCATATGTATGTGAGTATATGTGTAATAGTGTATATGTGTATGTGAGTGTTCATGTGTGTGTGTGTATGTGTGTGTGTGAACACTCTAACACACACATTTGATATTACTAAGTCATCCCAGTGCTATCATGGACAGGTTTCTTTCACCACCACCACCACCACCACCAAGATACAAGACTATTCTAGAACCACAAAGATCCTCTGACTCACTCTACCTAATCACTGATTGTTAGTAAATTGTTCTTCATCTCTATAATTTTGAGAAACTTCATAGAGACACACAATGTGTGAACTTTGGTTACTGTTTTTTGTTCCTCATAATTCTCTTGACATCTGTTGAAGTCATTATTTCAAGTACCTTAAAAATATTTAAGTGCCAAAGTAGTATCGTGTCAATCCCTGCTGAAGAGTTTGCTTCAACACTGTGGATCACAGTTAATGATTCTTAATCAGGCAGGGTAATTGAAATTAACAAGAAACCAATGGCTTTTATTTTGCTTTAACAAAGACTCTTTCTCCAGGATCATTAAAGACCAGTTAAATTTGTGATTTTAAGTGCACATTGTCCTCTAAAATGTCTAGCTCAAAAAAAAAAAAACCTTTTATCAGCACTTCACTGCAGAACTATCGATAGTTAACAAAATATAAACAGACTTCTGAGTCAATGGGAAGCTATTCTAAAACACAAAAACAAACAAACAAAAAACCCAAAACAACAATAAAAATAAGTTTATGGTGGAGTGATCACTTGCTCAGTCAAGTGCTTGGCTTGTAAGTATGAGAAGCCAGAACTGTCATTAAACAAAACAAAACATAAAAACAGTCAGGCAAAGTGCTCACACTTGTAAACCTGTAACTGGCCAATTATTCTTCTCAGTGATTCCAAGCCAGTGACAGACCCCTGTAAATAGGATCTTCAGATGAAAAATCATGTCCTCTGGCCTCCACATCCTCTCCATGAGTGCACACACACACACACACACACACACACACACACACACACACACACACACTAGAGGGAGAGAGAGAGACAGAGACTTACACATGCACACATCTCTGTCTCTATATCATTCACCCACCCACCCACCCACCCACCCATCCATCTATCTATCTATCTATCTATCTATCTATCTATCTATCTATCTATCTCTATCTATCTCTCTATCTATCTATAGGTTTGGATTAGCAGCAATCTTCCTTCCATGAAGCCACTGTCCAATGTTGCTGGAGCAGCTAGTTTGTGAGACCACATAAATCAATGGCTCTTAGATTATACAACATTGTGTCAATGCTGTTTCTTAGGACATGACATTTGTCAATCACTTTTTCAACTAAGAGAGAAGCTCAACCTTTCACTACTGATATGAGAAGTACACTGTAGATTGACTGCAATTTAAATCTGTGTAAACCATAGTTGATAAATGATATTTGCAACAGTCTGGAGAACAAATGGAACCTCTTCATGAGACATTTGCTCCAGGCAGAACTTTCAAATGTAAAATGTTTGTTTTTTTATTAATTTAGCTCTCCTAAAAATGTCTTCTCAACCAAGATTCATAACCACATAATCTCAGCTTTCATATGACATCAGTATTAAGAAATACTATTTCATAAAGTACATATATTTATTATCTTTAAATAAAGTTTTTTTCCTTGAGAATCCATCCATACTCATTGTATATAAATTGGGAAGTGCATGTAAGAAAAAGGAAGAAAAATTTCTGATAGCTTTAATCTGCAAGCATAGTTTATTTCCCAGTCTGCCTTTTTCTGTTCTATGAAATTCATTGTAGAAGCTTATGACAATAAACAATTTACAAAACATATTTCCCCTAGAAAAATAGACACCAAGGAAATTGTTTATGTTATTTTATATTCTTAATGTATCTTTCATCAGACCCCACATTGTAGGGAACCTCCTTAATATTCTATTTTGCTCCTTGATATAATGCTCTTTTCTGTGTTTCCTTGTCTTCCTTTCTTCCCATGTGACTGTGGTGTGGTGTGTCATGCTCTCTCTGTCTCTGTGTGCATGTACAAGTGTGAGTGCAGGGTTCTACAGGGGCTAGAAGAGGATGTTGGACCCTGTGGTGGTTTAAATAAGATTAGCTTCCATGGGCTTGTGTATCTGTATATTTTGTATATTTTCATGCTTAGTCCCCAGTTGGTGAATTTCAGAGAAAGATTAGGAGGTGTGTCCTTAGCAGGTGTGTCACTAGAGATGAACTTAAGGTTTCAAAAGTCTACACCAGGCCCAGTCTCTCTCTCTTCCATTTGCCTGCTGCTTGTGATCATGATATAGAGCTCTGATGTACTTAACTAGCACAGTGTCTGCCTTCTGCTGTACACTCCCCACCATGATAAGATAATAATGGACTATCCCGCTTAAACAGTAAACAATCTCCCAATTCAATGTTGTCTTTCATAAGACTTTTCTTAGTCATGGTATCTCTTTGCAGCAATAGAACACTAATTAAGACACACCCTTAGAGCTAGAGTTATAGGCAGTTTGAGCTCTCTAACCTGAATGCTAAAATGGAACCAAAGTTCTCTTCTGGAAGTGCAGCATACAAGTATAGAGTTAGTAAGGTGAGGTCTGGCCACCTCAGAAGATAAAGTGGGTGGTCAGGGAAAGGATGGTGTGAAGTAGATGTTTGAATAGGAAATGTCCTTCATGTGTTCATATGTTTGAACACTTGGTCACTAGATGGTGGCACTGTTTGTGAAGGTTATGTAATCCTTAGGACATGGGACCTTGTTGAAAGAAGTGACCATGTGAGGCTTTGAGATTTATAGCCTGCCCCCACTTGCTGTTCTATCTCTGCTTTCTAGGTGTGGATGCAAAGCGATAAGCCAGCTTCCTGCTTCTGCCATGACTTCCTGCCTATTGCCGTTCCTTCTCCGCCATGATAGACTATCCCTTTGGAAATGTAAACCACAATAAACTTGCTTTTTTTTTCAGTGACATTTTGTCAGTGTATTATATATCACAGCCATAGAAAAGAAGATAATGTAGAAGGTTTTAAAGGATAAAGTCTGGTAGTAGAAATTAATTCAAGTAAGAAAAGGAAAAATGTGTGAGTTCAGAAAGCAAGAACAGGGAAATGAGATTTAGTGTGAACCACAGACTTTATGGAATTGTCCTCTGTGAGAACATTTAGGTCAATACTGGCTCAATGCTATGGAGCTGCAACTTGCTAGACCAAGAGGACAGAATGCAGCTCAGGATTATGATGGAGAACTGAAAAAGAAATCTGGGGTGTGGTTTTGGCAAGAGCAGATTTGGTGTAAAACATGGGAAGATCTGCGAACATCTGGAATTGAAGATATGAAATACAGGGAGTTACCAATAACAGCAACAATAGGCAATAGTAATAGAAGTCTGTCAGTTTGGGGTGGAAGCCATTCTTCACAGCAGGGGCGGGCTTTTACCTCCACTGACTACCTTGGTAAAATGTCCTAGTTTAGAGCTAAGAGGCCAGGGGTTAAACTAATTTGGTACACAGCCCATGATTAAGAGCTTGGCTGTCAGATGAACTTGGACTAATTCCAGATCTTCCCCCTATTAGCTAAATGACCTGCCTGAAACATCCTGTCTCCTGTGAAACCAATGCAATAACAATATCATCCTTGACTCACTTCTTTGAGGTGACAGAATTGAGGTACCAGGATAAAAAGCACAAATATAAGAGACAGAGCCAATGTAGGGAAGAGGGTTTTTTTGTTATTTTTTTGGCAGAATGTGCATAGTCCACATCTGAACATTGTAGCAGGACAACGATGTCATATATGACCTGATTCTATGAGCCTCAGAAAGTATTACAGACACTTGAAAAGCTGTGCGAACATATGGTGACAATGTGAGCAGAGGGTGGATTGTGCTTTTGACAGGAGAAATCCCAAGAAGAGATAGATGTTAAAAACAAATAGATAACTCTTCAAGAAACCTTCTGTCATTCCTTCCTTTGGTGACATTTTACTCTAAACGCTGAAGTCCAATGGAATCACATAATAGTGCAAATGTAAGAGATACCTTCCTGTCAGCAAAAGAAGGGAAATGTGATTAAAAACTAGGCATGGAGGCAGAGGCTGGGGAGATAACTGAGCAGTTTAGAATATGCACTCCTATTGCAGAGGACCCAACTTCAATTCCCAGTAATCCATGGTGGGAGGCTCAGAAGTACCTGTAACTCCAGCTCCAACAGATCCAACACCTCTTCCCTCCATGAACACCTGCACTCACATGTACATAACCCTCCACATATATGTGTGTGTGTACACACACACACACACACACACACACATATATATATATATAATTTAAAATAGTAAAAATAACTCTTTAGCAATCAGTAAACAGAGCTGGAAATGCAGGTCAGTGGCAGAGTGCTTGCCTAGCATCTGTTAAGCCCCTGGGTTCTGTCCCTGGCTCTGAAAACAGAACCTAATCATGGAATGGGACATCTTGATACATACACAGGAGATATCGAACGAGATGCAATACACACTTGTGATTTAAAATTGTGCCAAATTAAACATGCTTGTCGCACCTGCTGTGCGGCCTGCATCCGAGAATGTAGCGAGGTGGTCGGGATAGATGACACAGAGACCGGTCGGTTGCTTTAAGAAAACTTTATGCTTCCCAAGTCAGCTTAGGAGGAGACCCCAGTCCGCTTAGGAGAGAGCTCTCAGGAGAAGTCCCTCTAAGAAAAAGGAGCTTCCCTTTTTAAGGACTTCTGCCATTCATCTACATACCATTATTTCCAGACTTCTCACCCTCCTGGCTGGTGGTTTAATCTCTGGCCCCAGAATCGGGGAGACACCACAGGGGGGACAGGAAGAGGCATCTAGCCTTAGGGGGTGTGAAAGGCATGGTATTTCAGTGAGCAAGCCCTTATCTGAGCCCTATGGAGAGCTTTAGCACTGAATTGTTTTCAGTAAACATTACACAGCTGCCTGCTCCCAGGCCAAAGGGGAAGTGGGTTTCTGCTCAAGGTCTGGTGTCCCCACACATGCTGACTTTTTATATATGAAATGATGCTTGAGCAAAGTTTTATTTCTCTCACTAGAGACTCTCCATTTAACTATTCCCTCTTTTAAAAACGTGTGTGTGAATGTGCATGTGTGCACCCAAGCACATGTCATAATCTGCATATGAAGGATAGAGGACAACTTGGGTCCTTCCTTCTACCACATGGATCCCAGGAACAAACTCACGTCGTCAGATCTGGCAGATAGCACGTTTACCCACAGAGCTACTTCACTGGTCCCCTAAATTTTCTATTCTTCAAATGAGTTCCAATCTTGGATTTAAAAAAATGTATTCTTCCCAGATTCCATTAATGGTGCATCTACTGCAGTTCCTCATTTTCAAAGTTGCATAGCTGAGGCTGAAATTGCATAACATAAATGTGACATTTAACGAAGATGTGGGAATCCAAGACTATGGTGCGGATTTTCATTATGTGTAAAACAGAAACTCAGTCATTAAAATTAAAGGCCTTCCCGTAGTGGGGGTGTCTATTTGTTTGAAGTTTTAATACAGTAGTATAACATCTCAAATAACTTGCTTACTTTAAACAACAAATATTTGAAAAGGGAAATAGGAATGAAAGTGTAAATCAAAGAACAATTGGCAAGAAAGCAATATTCAGGGCATAAATCACTTGTTAAAAAGTAGCTGTTTCATTACAGAAGCTGCTATCTAAGGCACTTGGCTGAATCCCCGCACAAAACAAATAAAAAAAGAGTTAATGAGCAAGTTTCCTGACATATCCTTATTACAATTTTTCACATCAGTCTTTCTTGAAGGGTATGTTACTAACCACAGCATATGAGCTACATTTCAAAAACCCTCAAACTTCTGAACATGTTTCATTTGCCTCTGCAGAACAGAGTTGAGGAAAGCAGCAATCTTGAGTAGAGCTGAACCATATGTGTAGTTTTGAAAACACGAAAGTGTGAACTTGGCTAAGAGTCTTGTTTTTCTTATCGTTATAGATGGGGACATTTCCTTACAGATGGAGACAGGGGTCAGCTTATATGTTCAATGCTGGTATACTTTTGGTGAAAATGAGAACACATGTGGCATGGTTTGTCACTGGTGCTTTACCACCATTCTACTCAAAGAAACTTTAGACGTTTTTGAAAAGCTTTGGATTTACAGAAAAACTGCAATACCCCATCCTACTTTCTCCAGAGGTGACATCTTATGTTATTATAATCCATCTATCAGGGCCTTGCTATGTGGCTGATTTACTGAGTTCATACCTTAATTGAAAATTTTCGGGTCTTTCCAGTGCTTTCTATTCCAAGGTCACCATACTATGTTAAGCTATTCTGTGTCCTCTGCTTAGTGCCTGGTTCTTAGATTCTGGGCTTCATTTGGGGCATGGCTCATCTAATATTTTGTAGAATATCCTGAGCTTAGATCACTCTGACATTTTTTTCTGATTTTAGTGGCAATGAGACTTTGGGGTGAGGACATAAACACCACAGGGTAAAGTAGCATCCTCATTCCTTCCTGTTAAGGGCAAGTTCCATTAAAATGACTTGTTCTTGATGACTAAACATGGAAAAACATTGCTATGAAGCATTGACTTACTCAGAGACTTGCTTAATGATTTAATTGGCACTGATACAAGTCACCAGAACATTCCTGTTTGAAAACTTTCATAGCCAACTTCACTCCTGACAAAATAAACATTTATGATGTAGTTGCTCCACAGCTGAGGTAGTTGTGAGTTGGAAAGGATATAAGTTGGTGAGGGAAGGTAACAGAGAGTGGGGAGGGGTTTCAAAACTACTCATGTATTTGTTTGTTTGTTTGTTTTGGGTGAGGGCTATATGGGCTGTCTTCTTGTAGAGGAGAGGAGATCATTTCTTAGCACCCACTGTGAGCAGTTCATAACCATGTGTAACGGCAGTTCTGTGTTATCTGATACCTTCTTCTGGCCTCCACAGACACTACATGCATGTACACATAGGCACACATAGACACACATAATTAAAATAAATTCTTAAAAATGTGTATGTATTGTATATATGTGTGCATGCATTTATGTGTGTGTGTGTGTGTGTGTGTGTGTGTGTGTGTGTGTGTATGCATGTGGAGGCCAGTGGTCAGTGTCTTCCTCAATCATTCTTCATTTGTTTTTTTTTTTGAGGCATGGTCTCTCACTGAACCTGAAGCTTACCAATAGTCTAGGCTGGCTAGCTAACAAACTCAAGGGATCCTAATGTCTCTGCCTCTGCAGAATGTGATTACAGACTTGCAATGCCACACCAGGTTTCAATGTGGGCAATAGAGATCTAGACTAAATCCTCATGCTTACACAGTAAGCACTTTACCCACTAAGCCGTCTCTCCAGCTCACAATGAGATTTTTCCTGACCAACCATTTTCCTTTAATTATTGTCCATGTGACTGAGAAAACATGATATGCAAAGAAACAGATTTCTGTGACAAGACCTGTTGAGTTACTATGGTTTGGCTTCATGGTTTGGGCCAAACATCTCTCTGTGTCCCAGAATCGTAGCTGTAACATTGGGATCACAGACTAAGTGAGTGATCTATCCAGAACATTCAGATGGTCTATCTAGAACATTCTGTTATTCCATTTCTGAATTTAAGCAATAGATGTTCAGGGTCAGACTCTGTATTGGGCACCAGGAGTAAAGCCACAAAAAAGCACAAAGCCACCATGCCATAAATTTTAACAAGTGTTTTTTTTATTCATCATTTTTTAAAATTTATTTTACGTACAAACCAGTTTCCCGTTCCTCCTCTCCCTCTTCCCTTCCTCACCACCTCCCTTCTACCTTCCCACTCCTCCTCCATCTCCATTCAGATGGGATAACACCTCCCATGAGAATCAGCAAAGCATGGTATGTCAAGCTGAGGCAGAACCAAGTTCCTCTCCCCTGTATCAAGACTGGACAAGTCATCCTTCCACAGGGAATAGGT